AGCTCCCGCCACCCGACAACCCATACCCCCTCTTTGGTACCGGGAATAAAACCGGATGAGGATTTTCGCAAAACTTTTGCTGAAACGACGAATCTCTTTTACCACGGATTATTACTCGATGTACACACCCCTAAGATTATCATGACCCTACCGAAAGCCCGTAGGGGATGATTTCTTTAACGGGGACATATTTAAACGGGGAAAAAAATATCATACACTTTTTTTTCCAAGGATTCATTTTCTTTGGTTATTATCTTTTTTTTCGGTCCAGTCTCTCTTGAACCTGTCACTTGGTTGTTGGAGACTTTCGTGCTTGCTGGCTCGTCAGCGGGCTCGGTTGATGCTGGGGCCGAGCGAACGAGTTAACATTGGTTAATTTATGGTGGTGCCCAGTCAACAAGGCGCCATGGCATTTAGCGGTTAACGCATGCATCGCGTGGTAGGGGAGACGCCACTCAACGGCATCATTTGAATTGATGCGGTGAATTGGAGCTGACGACATCCAAAGGAGAGCCAATCCAGTAGTTTGTTTATTGGTGGCGCGTTGGCGGATTCCTTGCAGTCTGGCTTAATTGAGCTTGTCAATCGCGATTGAAACAAATATATAGACACTTGCTGGAGGATACCGTGTATCTATACGAGGGTTTAATTTAAATTACGTAAATTTTACAGCGTGTCATTCGAAACCTTCTATCGTGTTCTATCAATGACTCTAGGTCATCGGCATATAAATTTTAGACGCTGACAAATTTTTTTTTAATGAATTTAATACGAAGATAGATATGCTGGAATATACTTGAGAAGGACCGATGGAAAAAATGTTTACTGAAATATAATTAATATTTCTTTCAGGGCTTAATGAACGTTTCCATTATTCAATTTTTGAATCTCTATACGGTTAATTAAAATCTTGTGCTATTATGATAGTTCTAATTTTTCTTTTAGAATCGAGTGAAAATTAGGTCATCCGTTACTAATCACATTTATCATGTATCCGTACCATATGCATACAGGGTCATACACCGTATGTGAATTTCGATCAATTTCGGTTTATTCGTTCATAGACGGCAATTTGCCTGATCGCCCTTTGCACACGTTTATACGTATACAATATATATACCTATTTATTTATATATAGCCAAAAACATGAATTTCCCTGAAAATGCAAATCGCATTATTTCTATACGTGTGCTTAATGGGCTATTACGAGCACGTGCCAACCACAAAGGGAATCTCCTTGCTATAGCATTGAACTTCCCATAAGACAAATCACATAGGTGGAACAATATATATACAGGGTGTTCCGAAACTATCTGACCCGGTGGGTATGGCGGTGTTCGGGAGGCTTCACTGATCACGAAAATGACCTTCTTTTTGTCCGGAAGGTATAATTTTTTAAATGGGAGCAGGTCAAAGTTGACCAATCAGAGGGAGGCGTCATATATACACCCACATATATCACGTATATTAACACATGCTCGAAAAAGTATTAACTAATTTTACCTAACATACAGAATTGCCCCGAAAAATGGTGAAATTTTTTTTTCTCACCCCCTATGACTAATTCACCATATTGCCCCGTAAGTCACGATTTTTCACGGTATGACGTAGTTGCCCAAAGATCCAATAATACAGAACAATAAGGATTTTACTATGTTATCCAAAGTCGAGAATGAGAGATTAGAATTTTTTTTTCCCTCGTTCAACCTCCAGCCGTGTACGGTGCATTTAGCACAGGGTGGGAAAAGCATGGGAGACTAAAGGGAGTGAAAAAGAAAAAAAGGCACTGGAAAATATACGAGAGGAACAATGGTAGGGATTGTTGACGCCGCGAAAGGGGACTGGTAAAATAAAAGGAGGGGGGTCCCCACGTGATTAGTCTGACACTTGTACGATAGTCTAGTTGGCACGCATTCTGGCTCCTGGTTGCATTGACTGCGTGTCTGTTGCCGCAGGCACGTGACACATAAGCAGGCAGCCATTGCAGTGCCTTAAAATAACTTCTGATCCGAACGATAATCCATGATTTTTAAGGAATGGACCAGACCCAGTTCCAAGTGACAAATTTTTATAGGGCATTTTAAATTTACCGCCTTTTCTTTTAAACTAACGGTAACGATCTTTTTCACGTTACAGACGCCTGCGGACTCTCGGACGTCGCCAACATCGAGTCCCTTCAGGAAAAGTCCCAGTGCGCTCTCGAGGAGCATTGCAGGACCCAGTATCCCAATCAGCCTACTCGGTTTGGCAAACTTCTATTAAGACTACCGTCGCTGAGGACAGTTTCGTCCCAGGTGATCGAGCAACTATTTTTTGTACGTCTCGTTGGAAAGACGCCCATCGAGACCCTCATCAGAGACATGCTGCTGAGCGGAAGCAGCTTCAACTGGCCTTACATGAGCACGATGTGACACTCTGTCTGGCGGCAGCTAGCTTCCGCATAATACGTCACACGGTCCACGATTCGGTAATGAAAGAGGAAGAGAGAGGTTGGGGAGACGGTTTTGAGTAAAAAAAAAAAAGCGAAATCATTGGATCACGCAAAATTGTGAAGATATGGATGAGATAAGAGGGGTAGGGTCACGGACGCGTGAACCTGCCCTTCTTCATTAGCGACTTAAAAAAATAAGAAATGAAAAAGTATGAGGTTGGATCGTCAGGTGAAACCGATCGATTCTCAACCGAGTGATCCTGAATGATGAATGATCCCAAAGAGAGTCGTTCGGTTCCGCCTGGGACTGCCTGACGAAGTACAATGGCTGGAGGTATAGTAATCATTGTCCAGTCGTGAATTATGGCGCACGAGTGTTTACTCCTCCGTGTGATAAAAGAAGTCACGTGGTCGAAGAGGGAACTGATGGAAATTCAAGGCTTGAAAAAAAAAAATTGAAAAATATCATAGAAACTTCAATTTTTCGTTATAACCCAAAAATTTAATTGGTGATAAAAATTTTTTTTTTTTAATTTTTTGTATCCCTCCCCTACTCTTTTTCTACTTCTTCTCGGAAGTTAACGGTTTCTTCCATGACATTCGAATCTCCCTCCGTAGCTAAGATCTACTGGGTCTACCTGGCCCGTAGAAGAAGAAGCCTTAAGTTTCTAACTGGTTTCTAAGCTTCATACCGAAACGAAGACATATTAAACGTAAAGCATCGGAGTAGACACGAAGGACTGTACATAGGTACATAAAACAATAGAAGTACCGTATCTGGTACGAGCTAAGTACACTTCCACGTCGTGGAGGTACGGTCGGTCTGAAGTTGGCCGAAGGTAGGTAACGCCTCGCAAGTCAAACTAAAGTAAGAGACGCCGCTGAGCGGAGTGATAATAAACTCGTCACTTATTCAGAATCAGGAGGCGCCCAGTGGTTACGTGGACAGCCTTGAAGGAGAGAGCTAACGAGAGTGAGAGAGAGAGAAAGAGGCAAGGAGAAGGAAAAATAATGAGAGACAAAGTGAAGTAAGCAGCAAGACCATCGCTGCCCGTAAGACATTGGGACTCCGGTAAAGTGGCCTGGTCTTGGATCGAAGCACCGGGTCCGCTTCGGAACAAAGCTGAAGGTGGCGGAGGAGGCAGCGGCGGCAACTGGTGGAGGTGTGAAGAAATCATAAATTAGCATTTATAATCGGTCCTCACTATCTCGAATCGATCCCAGTCAAGCACCGACTACCAGCCAAGTCATCCCAGGAGTCCTTAGTCATCCAAGCTTGCTACTTTAGGGGCGAACCATTCGCTTCTCATTTTTATTTAACCCTCTCGATAAAATCCCCCCCAAGGTCCTTCGTCCACGGTGAACAATTTCCAAAGGGACCTCATTGCCAACCACCCCATTAGATGCCTATAGTCCCTCTCGCTATTCTGCTTCTTCAAACTTACCGATTCTTTGACACTTTTCTTCTTCGTTCCTACGGGGTCCCCCTTATACTCTCTTCTCGCTATTCTCTTGAGTCACTCTTTTTTTTATTTAAAAATTTTTTTTTCTTTCCATTCTCATTCTTGTGCCTCATTCGTTATCTTTTTTTTTCTGTTCGCTGATTTCTTCTTCTCTTTTTCCTTACCCACCCTTCTTCTTGTCTCTTCTCCACTTCTCTTTAGTACTTTGCTATTTTTATTTATATCTCCAACACGCTCGTTTACGTATCGAGGCTGACTCCTCGTTTCAACAGACTCTTTGCGTATTTTTTAATTTAATTTAATATTCGAAGCTGTTACGTGTAATTAGGGCTTCTTTATTTTTTTTTTCACCTGACGTCGTCACGATCGAAATTTTCTTCTCAAGAGGAAAAATCCTGGTTTTTATTTTTAAAGAATTTTTTTGGATCAATTCACGTGGTAGCTGGTAACCGTTAATGACTCGCGGGTACAAAATCTTTATGCGACGTTACATCCCTTGTTAAATGCATTATGAAGCGACCTCGGGGTTAGGTACTCGAAAGAAACGACGCATTTAATATAAAGAAACAAAGTCGACCGTTTATTGCGCGACAGACGTAAATCGAACGCTCTTCTTTCTTTTTCTTTTTCTCTTTTTTTTTAATATATATTAAATTATAACGTTTTCGCTGGCCAAACAAGACTTTTGGAAAGCCAATGGAAAGAAAATTGTGCGACATGTTTACTTACGAATTATCTATGTTTATATATAATATATGTATATATAAAGCATATATATATATATATATAATTTTTATTAGCGAAGGGCGCTCGTTTTGCTAAAGACTGTATCAGTCTCAAATGATAAGTAATTAATATTAATGCGCGGCTCGTCGATCGGCGACCGGTAATGGTAAAGTAAAGAAAAATGAAACGAACGAATGATAGGTGAGACAGATCGATAATATAATTATTGCGAATTTATTTAAGCGTTTACGTTTGAACTTACTCACGTGACAATACATCGGAAATACCAAGGGAAAAGAAAATCCGTTTATCTTGTACATAATTATTTTTACTTTCGGGGTTACTTAAACTGAGTATGTAGCTAGAGGTAAACTTAAACGAGGGATTGTCAAATGTATCAGTGCCATTGCGACTTCGCTACAGTGGCGACAATGCGGGATTTTGTCGAGGGCAGAGCAAAGTTGTTTTTACTGATGCTAGAGAATTTTCAAAAAAAACTATTATGTACTGTTTAACGTTATCGAAGTGCAAGCCGAAAGAATGGTTTGATGAAAAATTGTATGAAATTTTTGTATTAATTTGTTACCTTGTATGATTGTATGATTTTTCGAATTTTTTTTTTTTAATCCAATCGTCGTCACTGTTCATGCAAAAATCGTTAGTATACCATATACGTATTTCTCCGCGTTTGTCAAGGTTTCCAAGGCCGTTGACGTAGTTAAGAGAAGGAGCGAATGAGGAAGGCGAAAGGAAATTTCTTAAAATAATTAAACGAGTCCTTATCAATTTTCCAGTGTTAAGGATCACGGTACCATTAAACAGATACCTATATTTTTCACTTGTTATTCAATAATAATTTCCGTCTTATCGGCGTCTAAACTGTCAAAGTGGGGACGAATCGTGGATACGTAGAAGAAATCCTGAGGGGAACCAAGACGACGAAGAAGAAAAATAAAATATTCGTCGCGTTTAGCCGCCAGCGTATACATACATAAATTATATGCATTAGAAAAAAAAAACCACCAAACAAGGATACACATATAAATACACGATAAAAAGAAAGAACGTGAACGATGACACAATGTGATAATTGTCGAAATTTTAACCCGGTTTTTTGAGACGGTGCTTTTTCTACTTTATAAATATTGTACAATAAAGAAAAATGAAAAAAAAAAAGAAACTGGACTCAGTGCGTTGTATAGCGTTGTTTAATGATACGAATTTGAATTATTAATTAATTAATAAATGTGGCAATGTCGAGCTAGTTACTTAGTTGAGGAAACATAGGGGTATATGGGATAATTTCTAAATATTTTTAAGCGGTCGTTTCTTAATTAAAAAGAAAAAAAAACGTAAATAAATAAAGCGTCGTGTTCTCATCTTGTACAGCAGGGGGGGATGCTTCCATTTGGATCCGTTGTAATTAATTAATGTAATTTGCGCGATTATATTATTTTTATTTGATACTTCCCTCATCCCGACCCCCACCACCGTTACTTTTCGTGCAATGAACTTTGACCCTCCCTCGAACCTACCTTCAGTCTTTCATTGATTGTGGCGTGGTGCGGTTCACGTATAGAAACTTTTAAAATTTTGTGTCTTTCAATTTTATAACGGGATCCCAATGGAGGCAGCCTTACTAAACGGATTCAGTTGCTCACGGAAACTCAAAGTGTATTATACCAGCCGTACGGATAACGTGTATGTAAGTAAAAGATAAAAGAAAGATATCTATTAAAAAAAAAATTAAAGAACACAACATGCATACATTAAGTAAGAGGGGACACATGCAAGACACACACTGAGACACAGACAGACAGTTATGTATAAATACGTGAAGATTTTTTGTATAAAAACGTGTAAATAATTAATATATTATAAAGAATTATAAATATATAAATATATATATTATATTAATTGCTCCGCATAGGAATACTATTAATTAATGATATTATTGATAATATTATTATATCGAGTAAACGTTGTATGTACGAAACTTGTAGGTATAATGCGACTGATCTTTTTTTGCAAAAGTTACAATAAGAAAATATCATGTTGCAAAAGCACAATCGATCTTATCAATCAGTCATACCAATTATTATTTATTCTGCAGATGCACCAAGTAAATCCCATATAGTTGCGCATCAGAGAAATGTGTGTGTAGAATAATTTATAAATTAAAAAAAAATCAAGTGTCTTCAGAAATTAAGAAGAAATCAGAGTATGGACTATTAAGAAGGTAAGAATTGTTGCAGAATGAGTTATAAATTCCTATTAAAAATGAATTGATAATCGCATGGATAGATATTTATTAAAAAGAAATGTTGCAAATAACAAACTTCTATCAGCTTCGATGTATTTTCATTGGTAGTCTGCCCCCTTGACAAGACCACTAGCGCCGCCAAGCGGTAAAACTTGCAATCGGACACGCATTAGAATCGTATCCAAAGACATCGGACAGACGGATACACTTTAAATTGCAAATAGCCGAAATTAGATTCCGCGTGTCGTTTAAGAGTCGTATTATAATAAAGAAGACAAAGAGATAGGAGAATTAAAGTAAAACAAACAAAAATAAGAGGCAAAATAGCGTCGCGTCGTTTCTAGAACAATCCGCGAGAGGGCAACGCGAGGTCGCGATCGCAGACAGACGCATCGCCGTCACGTCGGCGTCGGCCAGAAATCACTCTGAGCATGTCATGGAAATTCGCTCTCGCCAATTGTTTATATTGAAATACGCTCGTGCAGGAATTCCCGTCTGCTTCGTAATGGCATTCGAAAAAGAAAGTCAGAAATCGAGCGAGCACTCGCCGACTACAAGAGAACTGGTCGGTAAAATTGTCGATGAACCGTCTCTGCATTGATAAAAAACTTTTTTTAACCTCAACCGATCACTTTAATCTCAAATTTCAAATACTCGACTGACTCTATTTTTTCTTATACTTTTCGATCCTATCCAACCCCAAATATCTAGGGTGCAGTCCTGTTCCTGACGCTCTAGTGCACCCCCGGGAACTCCTAGTGGACCATCCCTTGTCGACCAGGATCCCATACTTGATTCACTTAGAGAGTGCTGATCTGCGAATCTGCGCCGAAGGGAATTTGGGAAAATAAGTTCACAACCCCTCGTAAATTAAATTGCCCTTGAGTCGCGCCCTCCCTTTGATTTACCGTCTTATCCAAGGCGTCGCGACGTGTCTCCAGAACCCTCAACCCCCAAAAGAAAAATATATAAAACACGCCGAAAACAAAAAATTATTCAGAATACAAAATCAACTCGTACTCAAAATTTTATTTTTTCACATTCACAACATTTAAAGTCCCATCTATATTAAGTCTACCTCACAACTCCACTACGACAAGCACTGTGCTTTGTTTTAAGCAATTCCACAGTATTTACTTTATATATATATATGTATATATATTTACACATGTATACCAACTTCCTCGGGATGTTTAGAATTTCGATAAATCCTCGGCAAGAAGAAGAAGAGTTACGGTCCCGGCGGCTTTTGGCGCCTTTCCAAACGGTGATTCTTGCTACCCGGTAAACAGAGCACACTTAAGCTCTACTGACAGACGACATTGCGGCTAGTACGTGTATCCCATACGTGACATCGTTACACGATTAAAATTGTATTACCAAGAATAGTGACGTCACGCGATATCCGTTGCGCAACAACGAACAAGAATTAATCAACGATAACACTTATCGCAATAGGGAATCGCGAATAAATAAGAGGAAACGTGACAAAAAATATTTTATCGGACAAAAAATCATCGAACGGAATCAAATATAATATATTAATAAGAAAATAGTGTCTCGTATCCAATAATAACATTGCCAGACATTTAACGGACTACAAGGCTCCATTCAGCATCCCCATCCGGTAGACAGTTATCTCGTTTGTGCCTCTTCTCAGATAAGACTCCAGCTATCTGTTAGCTACTGTTTGGAATTACGCCTGTCGAGTTTTAGGCCGACGCCACGTTTTAGGGTGGCAGTCCTGGGTACTATGGGAATTTTATGGTGGACCATAAACTACCGACGAGATCCGAGATTCGGGTCTTATCTGAGTCTTGATTTTGTGTAAAAAAAATTTTTTTTTAATTTCCATGAAAATTTCGTTCAATTGATACAATTTTCAGCGATCTAATGCCAGTCGAATAATATTGTAAAATGTTATAAATTATTTAAGTATTTTTTTCCCGGCCTCGTGATTTTTATCAAAATGTAATTTTTTTATTATTAAATCATACCGACTGGAAATTCTCGGTATTTCCTTATCAGTTTAATTACGTGTCGCTGCTTCACTTGACCACCAACCAGTTTACCTAAAGGAGCCATAAAGTTCGCCAGGGTACGGCAGGCTACGGTTTTCACGTATAGCTAGGTACCCTGGATTTGGATGAATTCCAAGGACCCAAGATTCTCGAACGGGGGAGACGGGACGCGAGACGTCTGACTGCTGTAACGGGAAAGCCAGAACGTATCCTCGTATACAGTATTCCGTTTTATCGTTTCTCTTGCGAAGATATGGTCACCCCGCTTGATAACCTCAACGTCTGACCTTATTATATCTTTCCCGTATTCTCCACTTCTCTTAGTGCCTACTGTATACATGTATACAGGTTAGTATCATTATTATTATTACGCCGATACACGCAGCATCCCTTCCACACGTCTTCCTATGAGAATAACTCGTACTAAACCCGTCTTGTTTCTTCCATACGATTTTAACGTAGTTTGATAAGTTTTCGCGAAAAGCATCTCTGCTATCGAACGAACGACTTGCATGAATGAAAAATTGTCGGAAATTTTTGTTACTTCAATCTCCACCTAAATAACTTAAAAATTTTTTTTGGTATTGGCAAGACAATTTTTTTTTTTTTGAAAAATTTAAAAATAATTTTCATTTTTAAATCAACTGGTACCGGTACAAATGAAAATTGTCCAGTTGTATAGTTTATTGGCAAGGGCAATTATATATAATTACAAAGCACCAATTGGATCAAACAGTTGATTACACGGAACGAGAGAAGAACGTCAAGCCGCGTCCTCATCGCTGCTGTATTATTCGCCAGCAACGTCCAGGTAAGCATACATATACGTCGCGTGCGTTTATTTCACGACCTTATAAAAGTCTTGTCGCGATATCCAGTGACAGTTGGTATAATTTATCACGAGGATGAACATCAAACCGATAAAAGCCCATGATGAGTATCCTCGGTGTGGCGTGACCCAGTATTGCATCACTGACGAACGAAGTAAACAGCTGTTTTTTTTTCAACGAGCACTCTAATCTGCAACGATAAGGGAAAATCATCGCCAAAACATAAAGTTAGTATCGTACGCAGCGTGGGATGGAAATTTTTCATTTATTTTTAATTATAAATAATATACGTATGTGACGTCATGATGAATTTATTGAATCATCGGACCATGCTCGTATCGTAACCTTGTTTTTTTTAGCATTGATCGTAATAACAAAATTGAAGTCTGCAATCGACGACTTTAGTATATCTAACGGGATGATAATGTAAAATTAAGCACAATGCAAAGCGGAAGTTCATACAACCGATTAATCGGCATCAAAGAGGACGGCTAGAGAGTCTACAGTGTAGGTACAGGTCGGTCCCGTGCCTCTTCCGTTACTTGATGGAGTAATGTGCGTTTGTTATGTTTCAATTGGTTATTCGACACCCACGCATAAATTATATCAACTTCATCTATCCGTAATTAAGATACGGTTGGCTTATGAGCATTTGTTGATTCGCCGGAAATGGAGTACAAATTGAGTGGGGGAGGTGGTGGGAGAGAGAAAGAGGTATATAAAACGTTAGAAAACTTTCTTTCCAAAAATATCATGAAATGGTAATTTTGTAAACAAAAAAATTTGAAAATTTGAAAAAAATCAGTCAACCTATTCGAAAATAAATTTAGACGAAGGATATGATGACTCTATTCAATTTTTCTCTATTGCTATTTTCGAAGCTGTAAATTCTTTTTTTTTTGACTCTATTCAGAATTTCCAATACAGCTTTTGAAATGGAGGCAATTGGTATCTACGGCCATGTAAAGGAGGACGCCATGATGCTTTAGTGACAAACAAGCCCGGCGTTCAAGTGTCTGTATAAAGAAATGCGACGGTGTAGGTGCATAAGTCAGAGGCGGAGCCATACACAGAGGTCAGAGGGCACAGCCAATCACAGACTGGTGATAACCATTCTGGCTTCGATATAGTTCTATACGGTTCGAGAACGCAGTTGGCGATATATACTTCAGTGTGAATGCACCTGTATAAGGTAAGACATTACTGATGCAATTGAAAAATGAATTTTTGCAACGCTGTACGGAAAGTATACAGTTTGTGCACCAAGAAACAAGCACAAAATCGTCGATTCTTGATGATTCCCGCACACTCTGAAATCATCAAGAATCGGCCATTTCGTGTTTCTTTTTGGTGCATATCCTGCGAACTTTCCGTACATTGTTGCAAAAAATAGTATATGGTACGCGTGCGGGTTGGTGATTCCTACTCGTGTGACGTTTGCCGGCCGAGCGAAGCGAGGGCCGGCAAACGTCTCGCTCGTCAGGAATCATCCACTTTCCGCACTTGTATCTTAATGTACTATATTATTATCCCAGAATCGCCCATCGAATATATGCTGTATATATTAAAAATAAATGGAATATTTTTTTGTAAAATTAAATATCGCCTCCTACCGTCGTCCACCTCAACTACAATAAAACTTCCTATCGAGAAATTGATTCTCACGTATTTTCACATAGACCGCGGTCACCGTGATTCGTGATTCTTCTTGGTTATTCTTCGAGCTGGTTTTGCTGTGCATTGTACGACTTGCCGTACCGGGAATTCTTTTATTTTTTTATTATACACCT